CTGTCAATTTCCCCTCACAGACAAATACACACACACATCCCCCCCACACACACACCAAGCTTTGGGTTACAGGTATTGTATGTCAGCTTCTCTTTTATCAGCATCTGTACCTGTTAGCAGAAGGGTGCAAAAAGAATCTGGCCTTGCTGAAAACTGTGCAGATAAATACCAGCTGCATCATGGATTACGTCACCAAACAGTACAGCATTAGTTTTTTAAGTATACAAAATTCATCTTTAGCCTTACTTATTTTACTTTCTTGACATCATAAATAACTGAATAAAATGTATGTCTGCATGATAACCATGTTTTTGTTCACTACCACTGTACTCATAATTTCATTTCAAAGTATTTAATGTAAAGCCACTTTTGCCACTCAGGTCAAGAGTGAAGTTCACAGAGAGCAGACACATCCACTATGCTTAGCTAACGCAGCAGAGTCAGAGAAGACTCTTATAAGTATTTTTAATATCATTTAATCAGTCAGCCGGGATAGGCTCCATCCCCCGGCGACCCTTATGCAGGATAAGCGGTTGACGATAAATGGATTTAATCAAATGCGCCTCTGACTAAAGATTTTCAGACCCTAGGCCTGAAAAGCTCCTTCTCCCAGCAGTCCAAAGGTCTTGTACCAAGTGAGGTGTAAACACCACCAAATCTCCAGGGTAACAAGGTTCCAGTCTGGGAGAGTCAGTTAATGTTGCATTCCATTTACCTCGGAGTCTGAAGTCGGAGCTGGGAATGACATCACACCTGAGTTGACCACGTTCCAGTTACGTCGTTAAGTCGGAAAATGTTGCGCCATGTTAGCTATTGTTAATTGTTAGGGTTTATAAAACGAATTAGGGAGAGAGCAGTTCTCAGAGTCCGACTTAAGGGGGCATTCCTGTTTGAAATTTCCGACTGGGAACTCAAAAATTCCAATTTCCAGAACAACTAGAACGCACCATAAGAGGAGCTAGATGCACGGCTAACTGAGCTAACTAGCGAGCAAAATTCATCTTTGTTTGCTTTTTGTTAATAGTTTTAACATGTGTGAATATGTGAACAATTCCTTTGTCTCTCACACAGCTCTTTCTGATGTACGTATATTTACCACTTTACACATAATCATAATGTGTTGTCTAAAAGTAGCTGGGAATATGATAAAAGCATGTAGAAATGCAGAAAATGGTTTTCAAATACGTTTTTAGGAACCCGAGGCTTTACTGCACCCCACCCACTTCTCAATCCAATGTTATGCTTGAGCTAAGGATCAGATATCTTAAGGACCACTTCACTCTATTATCCAAAAATGTTAAATTTCACACTGTGCCAACTCGCACCTGAAAGCAATGAGTTTCCCATAATGTTCCATTATTCACTGTATAAATGTTCCAGCTGGTCGCGGGCTAGATAGTCAGTAGAAAATATCAGATCAAACTCACGATTTACAATGAATGTAACATTAGGCCTGTGCCTAAATGGTGTGGGTTTTTACTGGGCTATGTTTTCTAAAGCCCTTCTCATGTCAGCGGGCGTGCTAAAAATCTTTTACTGGAATAAACTGTTGGGGAAACACTGAATATTACAGTAATATGGAGCTGTCACCACAACCACTATAGAACTCCTGCAGAACTGTTACCATGGCTACCACTGAAACACTAATACAGGATGAGACTGTTAGCTGGGTACCACTGCAGTACTGATGCAGATAATCAAATACACACACACACACACACACACACACACCACACACACACAAAGTGGTGGCTGTGAGTGGAGCTGATTTGATTGATGATGTCTTTTAGAGTAAGATAATCCCTCTCAGTGGCTAATGGCTTACAACACCAGATGGGCTGCTATCACCCTCTCTCTCTCACTCTCTCTTAGTCTCTATCTCTCACACTCACACACACACACACACACACACACACACACACACAACACACAAAGACCACCCCAAGTAAAGGTCATAGAAAATGAAGGGAAAGTAATATGATTTTAAGGATAGAGAGAGAGAGAGAAAGGGGCACACACAGAAAGACAGAAAATCTGCAGTTTAGTAAGCAAAATGAAGGCCGAGAGGTTAATGATGTTGTGGGCATTCACAAAGCATTTATAACCGAAGGATCAACACAAACACTATGACATCCTGGTGCAGTGCAGTATTATAACAGTGTTACAATGTTGCAAAGACTACTATGAATAATTTAAAGAGGCAATTTCATTGAAATAAATGTCTGTTAGGTCCCAATCAATCGCTGGTCCACTGATGATGGTACAGAGATATTTATTTGCAGGATTACAGACTGGGTGTCTGTGGCAATAGTCCTGGAAAAATGTTGTATTAATCTACTGCTAATGCACTGTGAACATTTCCTACTGCTGCAGCTTCACATTAAAAGCATTTAACGGGCAAATCACAAGTTGACTTTTCTTATGAAGTAGTCATAGGAAATGCAGTGTGTTTGTCTGTATGATCAGCACCAGCATTGGGCAAGTTACTCAGATATTGTAATAAATTATTAGTTACCTATTACTATTCAAAAAAGTATTATTACATTACTTGTTACTGGGTGATAAGTAGATAAGTAACTAATGAACGACAATGTTCTTTGCATCTTAGACTGTGACACAATAATGGCATAATACAACTTCCAGCTGTGGTAAGAACCCCTCTCTCCCTCCTCCTCCATTCTTCCTATAGCTTTTTGACTAACAGCTGACTTGAACAACATAAGGTCTTGTGCTGCTCATGTCAAGGATGGTGCGTTCACTAATGCAGCGTTACATGGATTAGTAAGTGTAATATTATTACTGTTTGGGTAATAGCAATAGCCTTACACTACTAGTTACTGGGAAAGTATTATTATTACAGTAACGTATTACTGTCCAACAGTGATTGCCACTGGCCGCTATCCATGTGTCATTTGGGCATTTTCTGAAATATTGCAGGGAGTAATGGAAGAGTCAGGGGCAGCCACAGGTAGCTGTAAGATCAAGAGTTACAGGCGACAGGCTGCACACCAAGGTACCCAACTCTTATTTTATTAAATTTATTAAAACGACACTAGATCAGTTTGTTTTCCTGTAGTATTAAACTTGCTGTTACCACCAGAAACTACAGGTGTCGCCAAATCACCGAGGAATGAAAAAATGATTTCCACAGAGCTGAAACTAGGAACACCTGATAAATTCCAAAGAAAAAGTATCTGTTCCTGCATGAACCTCCCAAGACCAAGTGAGAACACACTGCTGCGTTGATTCTATCAGAGGCTTCAGCTGTGTGAGTCTCTCCATTCACGTGGATGTGGTGTATAAACAGGATTACACTTCAGGGCCGAAAGATGAAGTGATTGGGTGAGTAGACTTTTAGTTGGCAAACTCATGGCCTAATCCTTACTAATGAGGTGCACGCTAGCTTCTACAGCACAATGGAGATTAAATTACGCCATTGTTCCTAATGCATCTGGTGTGTGTGTGTGTGCGTGTGTGTGTGTGTGTGTTTAAGATTTTACTGTGTTGGATTTGGACATTTCTCCATGTTTTGGCTGTTGAACTCGCAGCATAAAATGAATGACACTGCTGAACAGGATGTTGAGTTCCTGTAGTTCTCTCTGTCTTAAACATCTCGCTTTCCTGAGCAGTCTTCCTCTCCTTCTCCTCCGTCTCCCAGACCACTGAGTTAGGCTAATCTGATTAAACTAGCAGCTGTCTGTGATTCTGAACAACAATAGCAGCAATAACAATTAGTGATTCTGCTAGATATGGAATCGTTACCAAATCTTTGCACCAACTCAAAGTATTTCTGATAATAACAGGGACAGCTAGTATTACTTTCTAGAGGTAAAATAAATACTGTTTCCCAGTAGAGAGTCATAGAGCTATGCCAAGTTGTTATACAGCTGTTAATCATTTCAAAGTACCCATTCAGGTATGCTGAAATACCAGCATTACTGGCAACGAAATTAAAATCACTGACCAATGCAGGTAATACTGAAATCAGCCCACCTCCCCTAGACAAATCCATCCAGTCCAAATGGGGCTTTAGCCTAACATTTATTTTGGTTATGACACAGATTCTGTACTGAAAGAAACTTTAGTTTTGACCAAATCTAAGACTGGCACAGTTTATCTATGAGTCCACCACTATCATTCATCCATGCTCACCACTCCTGCCTCCTGCCATTACCAGCCACGGTGTCCCCTATGTCTCAGAATTATCTTTGACTTTTATCTCAACATCCTCTTTACCTGTTTATCTTAAACAAAGAGTGTTTGCTGGATAAGAGCAATCCACTTCCTCCAACGTTTCATTAGTTACAAGACTAGTTAGAAGTGTCATAAGGTTGCTACAGCTCAAAACAGGATGTATTTTCACAGAAAATGTTATAATAATATAATGTTATAAAAATACTGGCCTATAGGATAAGCTACAAGTACAAAGATGTGTAAGTGTTTTACTCTGTGATAAGCACAACTCTAAATGCACATTTGACTTTTGAAGGATATGTGAGGCTTCTTTGTGCAGACATGATGACAGATCACATCCAATGAACCCTGTAGACTGTTTAGAGACCAGACTCTCTTGCTTTCCCTGGTGAATGTATCAACACACAATACTATCAATAAATAATTACTTTACAATTTAATAGCAGCTAGCTTAGGTCATATGCCTGTTGTTATAAATATTGAATGATTTTTGCTGCTGCTTAAGTGCTCTGAAACTCGTTCCCCACAGAAATCAAATCATTAATGTTTTCTATCTCAGATCAAGAATGAGCTACCAAGCTCAATTTTAAGCCAACACAAACAAGAAAACAAAGTTTTCACAATAATGGAAAGTTTCGATATCCACAGTTTTGTGACAACTGAGCAAACTGCTGCTGATGAAGACAGTGTAACAAATCTAACAGAATAAGGATGTATCCCTGGAATCTGGATCGCCTTCTCCAGCCCTAGATATAGCAAACTCTGAAGCGATGGGTTCGCAATGTTTAACAGCGTCTCTGTCACATCTCTCTTTGCCTATCTAGACAGCAGCGTCTAATGAGGTAGACATCCAGAAAAAAAATCACAACACAGCCTACCCAGAGGGAGAACTGCATGAAAACAGTTTAAGAAAAAAGCGAGCAGGCAGAGAATCATCAGGTGGTGTGTGTATGAAGAATAAAGCATGTTTGATGTGGAGAACAAAGGCCTTCCCTGCAGCTGTGCACAGCCCCTGGCTCACACACCAGCAGACATGGCTTGGAAGCAATGAACGACAGCCCACAGGTAGAGCAGTCTAGCACAGTCAGTCTATTTTCATCCAAAGCTCTTCTGTGGGTTCCAGTGAGTGGTGAAGAGAAACAGGTGCAAGGATTCAGACCATTTCTAAAACTTTCTCTTTTTTTTCTAAGTTACATTTTCTCTCTGTATCCCTCAGTCTGTGCCCTACTCGTCTTACCTTTCTTGCTTATGATAATGCGGAGCAGCGGATTGGCTGACGAGACCGCTTTGTGGAAGTTGTCGTCGTTGTTGATTGGAAGAAGGTCTCCGTGGACGTCGGCGTATCCCAGCAGCACGTCAACCCCGGGGATGTGGTGGATGGTTTGGAGGAGGTGGTAGAACTCCTGGAAGCCACCCGGGCCGTTCCTCCTTAGAGCAAAGCGACGGTATTCTGCCTCAAACTGAAGAAGACAACGAACACACACATTAACCAGTGTTTCCCCCTCAGATATTACACGGTTTAGGATGCGACAGGATCAACTTGGGACAAGCTAGATGACTATAACTGTTTATATGTCCAGTTGGCCATATACTATCAAGTGGTACCACTAATTCTTGACCAACAAGGCCCAGCAGGTCAGAGTGAACCAGCCATTATCTGAGTCTAAAGTCATTAACGCAGGTGTTCATTCTGTTTACATTATATACAAATGATTGTACAGGCAGTCATCCCAGCACTTTTTCTAATGATACTGCCACGCTCTTGGATACAGACACTGACATTTCCAGTTATAGTTTGGAGGATACAATGAATGATGCCCATCATCTCATTGTAAATACTAAGAAAGGTAAGGTAGATTTTTGAACCAGTATATCTGGAGCCACTACTGGAGCACTTGTATTAACAGAGATATGTTTTGGCTTTACGTCATGTTGTCCATCTTTAGACACAGCCTATGGTTCATTCTTACAAATAATTGGGTGGACTTATTGACTGTAATCTGTAGTCTTGGAATGTGAATTCTATATGCACTAGGATCCAACGGCGACTCTACTTCTAACATATACAGTATGTTAAATTAAAATCACAAATAAACAGACTGGTCCACATAGCAATAGAAGTGATGGGGGTGAGGGAGCATCCCTCATTCCAACTGCTCTTTTAGAGGACTACAGTAACTGGCTAGGAAAATAATCACCGACCCCTACCATGTCCTGTGTGTAAAATACAAACTGTCTGCTCCCATCAGGTACATACGCTACAGGGTTTCAATTACATACAGGAAAATATACCTGAATTAGGGGTGTGACGCACCATGAGATTGCGCGAGATTAAATTTTGACAATATTTCTTGCCAGGTAAAAAGCTGTCTTGAGAGACTCACGCAAATGATATTTTTCACATGCTGTCAAGCCACACATCAATTTTAAATTTTCTGGTGCAATCATCACCTGCCACCTGAAATTTGTGTTCTTTACATAAATTTAAAAAGAAATCACAAACATCATAAACTGGTGCAGAAAAATTCATCAGAATGCAGGACATAAAGTGTTCAATGCTTTCAGCATTAAAGATTTCTTAAAAATATTGTTAAAGTCTTGTCTCGTTCTTGTGAACCCAATCTCGTCTTGTCTCGTGTGTCGTCACACCCCTAACCTGAATAGGTATTAAAAACTTAAAAATTTAATTATATTACATTTCTTATTGTTTAAATGTTAAGGGCAAATGTTAAGTAAATATAATATATTTAAAGTCAACGTTTCCCCTACCATTATACGGAGCGGCCTGTCCCTCCAAAACGACCCCCCGCCCCGTAGTATCTATGCTAATAAACTATACTAATGCTCTGAAACTGTATGGTCAGGTAGCTAATGCATTTGTTGTTTGTGTTGTGTTTTTTGTAACCAGCTCTTACGTTGGTTTTGGGATTTCGAATAAATCTAAAATCATCAATTCACGTGTCAGACCATCTACCCACTTTCACTTTGTGTTCAGCAGCATGTGGAGGCTGTCAAGTCGCCCGCTCTGCAACACTAGTAGTTCTGGGGGGTTCCACCAACCCCCCTAAAAAAAATCCTAGAGGAAACACTGAAAGTGGTAATTTTATCATGTACACAGGAATACAGCATTAATCCGGAAAATATATATTTTTTTCTTTTACATACCTGCTGCATTTGTTTTTTCAGTGATGTCTGAGGTGGCTGATGTGTTTTGTTCTATGTTTAGTCACGGCACACCATTCACTTAAAACGGGTTTGTGAATGTTGTCATAAACACCTGTGTTAAAATTGACTTCACAATGTTAACAAAAGTAAAACATAATTAGTGTATTGCATTTTGTATTGAATATTCGAATGCCCTCAGAATTGAAAGGGTTCTTCCTTGGCCCATGCTACATACATCTTTCTGAAGGAAATAGTAGATTTTCTATAATCCTGCTGACCGACAGACAGACAAACAAATGGCAACGAAAAATTCAACAGCAACATCTCCTTCTATAGTCACTGCCCACTACAATAGAGGTGAATAAATAATCCACAGACTGACTCTTTTTTTAAGGGACTACTTTCTACTGAAGAAATAAACTGCCCAGGGTTAAGTCCATTTACCATAATTTTACTGAGGGAAGAAATCTCAGAGAGGGATATCTACTGATCCTGGACAAATAAACTACAGCATGAGGTTGCTGGCAAACCCCAGAACCTCCTCGAGCCCACATGTCGAAGTGCACAGCAAGACACTGAATCTCAAACCACAGCATGTTTGAGTGGGGAAAAACAAAGCAGCTTTGGAAATTAGTGTCTAAAAAAAGAAATAGTGTCTACCAAATAAATGTAATGCATGCAATGTAATAAATAAATCTCACCAGTATTGATCAGGAGTACAGTTCAGACAAATAGTCTGTTGTCAATTTAAAGTTACTAGATCTCATCCACCTGTTTCTCTATCAAAATGATACTAGGTACTATAATAGGTACTTTACTGATAGGAAAGGTAACACACATGTTTGGAAATACTGTCAGGTTGCAACTAGGGCTCCACCGCCCCTTACGCACATCCACACACATAAAAATCTGGAACCCAAAGATAGCGTGTAGCCTAACGGCAGTTGTGCCCCACGCTTTCGGGGTGAGGACAGGTTCAATGCGTCCATTTTGGTTCCTAGCCCTTGCTTAAAGGATAATTTGGGTATTTTTAAACCTGGGCCCTATTTGCACATATTCTGGGGGCAAAATGTTAGATGGCGTCAGATGGCTGCCGTGAACCAGCTGCAGTGACTGCAATGTATTCCCACGGGGTGTGTAAATATCATTGGCATTTATAGGTTTTGAGACTGCTTTTAACATTATTGGTCCCTGATTCCATCATCATGCCCCCGCATCTTTACAAATTTTTTTGTCATATGAATAACTTAAATATAAAAAATATCACCAGTTATCCATGTTCAAATATACAATTAACAATCATAATCTTCTCCATTTGGGAACTTTAAGTCCATCCTCTATTAACAAAACAAACCCCCTCCTACTTCAACTTGTATGCGACGCTAAAACTGACGTTTAAATGCTTAATCTGCGTGGTGGAAGATAAACAGGCATCCCGGCATGGCTAAGGATGGTAAAACTCTCTAGATCTATCTACATTCCGGCAAGGTGATATATCTGAAACTGCAGGTGTACTTATTCCAATGCTGTTACGAAGAACCAGTCAATTTGAGCCTATAATTATTATACATATACATACTCGCTGCAGTATGCTTTTTCAGTATGTTTTTCAGTACAGCATTTACAGTACAGAGAAGAAACATGATGTAGGTGAGCTTTGTCGCATTGCTCATCTGGAAATAATTATGGTGGAATACTTGACAGTGACATCAGGGTCTGAGGCATACATGTGCCACATCTCACTTTTAAAAATTTTAAAGTGATATTAAAGAACAATGAAAACAATGAATAACCATGCGTCAGTTTAAAATGTTATCATTGACGCATTGTCAGCGTTGACGTCATCAATTACGTCGTCTAGGCTTCTCGCGGCAGCCTTACGGCCCTGTACAACTGATAATTTGGTCAGTAGTACAGTATGCATAGGTTGCAATGTGTCCATCTGTAAAGAAGAACATTATAGTAATGGCCGGATGATGTGGTTCACACACAAGCCCAGTGAGTTGTTGTTCTGCCATGGCGTAGAAACATCTGAGTACACCACTACACCGTCATTATATATCTGCCCTTTTCAGTGTCACCAAAACTTAAAATTCATGTTCATGTGTACATCAGAAAGTCATCAGTCATTTTTTCCATACTGTTTGTTAATAGTCAGAAACACATCTATTGTTCTCTGGAGCTCCACATACAGTCTACAATTTACAGGATACTGTGTGGTGCACAGTATTCCACTATTTCACAAGCCTAATCATTGATCCATTATTGCACCATGCTCTTTCAAAATAGGTACACAGCTTCCTTTAAAGGTATATTCTGGATATTTAATTCACACAGTTCCATTTCTAAACTTCTTCACTCTACATGACTGAAGTCTCTCTGGACTACCCAACCTCCTCATCCAGAGACTCTGGATGGTGGGATGTACCAACATCATAATAAGACGTTAGTGCAGAGACATTCCTATAATTGTTTTGGCAAGGTGTGATTGTACCAAGACAAGAAACATGTTATTTTGGGTGGAGAGATGCATACTGGTAATTAAAACACTGGAAATGCTTCCGTCTAGTTAAATGGATTATTATAGGTAAAAGGCAGGTTTATGTAATTATGTAAAAGGCTTAACAGGACTATTACCAAAATGGTTGGTTTGCATTACTGTGCACAAGTGAATAGAGCCATTATTAAAGCTACAATGGTACAGTGGCAACCCGTGTCAGATTATCATGAAAACACAGCCTGATGGGAAAGCAAATTAAGGCATCCACCAATCAGAATCAAGGATCATGAAAAGTGATAGATCATGTGACGTGTATGCGCTCACAAGTGCCTTCTCTTCTGCTCCCCTGCAACACTATTAGCCTACAAATGGAGTCCGCCAACATCAACAAATGACCGGGACCCACCACAACACAGGTCCAGCACAACGTCCAAAGTCAACGCTAACATTACTGTGGAAAATGTTGTGATATTGTGGTTTTAGCTGGCTAATGTTAGCTTGCTTGCTAATGCAGACAAATGCTAGCTAGATAACTAATTCATTCAGACCTGTTGGTAGATTGGTTGGCTTGCCGTTTGCAACCCTAGCAAATTACTATCTGAGTGCATAAAGAAAGTGGGGCAACGGTCCAGCTCCCTCAATGGCTGTCTTACAAGCTGGGTTTGTTTAGCTGTAATCCCAGCTCTCTTCTGACTGGGTGGTCGGAAGAAGCAGTGGGCAGTGATCATCTTAAGGTATGCTGCACTTAAATCCGGGGCTGAGCCACGGACAGTCCCGTCCCAATTTGACCCCTGTGTATAACTAAAGTCCTTCAAGGCAAGTCCTGCCACTTGGGAGCCATCTTGGTAACGCCTCCGGGCAGTTATTACGGACAAACAAGACCAGGCCCCTGTCTGGATAGTTAGAGAGAGAGCCACAACTGATTCACTGGTCACTGGGACATAAAAACTGTATGAAGAGAATCAGCAGTAAAATCTGATAAAAATCGCTAAAAAAGTTTGGATGGCTTTGCCAAAATTTTTTTCAGATCGGTTATACTTCTACTGCTCATGTGTCACTACTACCGCGCATGCGTAGTAGACCCTTACATCAGTGGAACCACACAATTGGCTGAAATATGTTTCCCACCTCGGCTGTTGAAAGCAGACGATTGGCTTTCTAGTGAGACGGGCAGGACAACCGCCATCTTGGCCATTTAGGGTTTTCCCTATAGAGTTGCGGATTTGGGATTCTTGAAGTGGCGTGTCTCCTCTGTAAATGTCTCTGGTATAACGATTGCTTTCTACTAGCCAAGAGCGATGCAAGGCAGGGGTGACCAACTACGTAGTTAACTGCAACCCAAGCAGTGGCTTTGCTGCGTGGCGTGGGTCTGGCGTTCGCTGCTTTGTGGGAGTTTACTGATGGGGTGATTTGCAAATGGCAAACTAGTCAGTATCATGGAGCCAGTGGTTCAAATAAAACATAGGAACATTACAGATAGTAACGTTATTTCCAGCATTCAGAGTTCAGTCTATCACTCAGTCAGTGTATGTCACTTCACTGTTTTGGCTCATGCCTACAGAGTTCGAGTCAGAGCAACAGGATGCTGACTGCAGTCCAGTGACATTAATAACAAGGGTTTTCTGAAAGTTTAAAGAACCTTTGAATAAGGAGTCTCTTTCATCTTTTATTTTACACCTTAGAAATGACAAATGTGTTATTAACCTATATTAAAATTCAGATTCAAACATTCTAATTGCCTAAAAATGATTACAAAGGACAGGGCAAAGTTTGAACTCCTGCATACTTGCTGACCATTTCTGCATACAGGCAGATTTTATTTTTTCCAGCTATTGCAATTAAACCGCAGCACTGGAGAAATCTAACGCTGCATCTATTATCACTCTTTAGCAGTAGTGGAAAAGTCATTAAAATGTGCAACTCAAACGTTTAAGCAGGCCTGCTCTTTGTGAAGAACGCTTCCTTCCACTGTGGTACATTATTAATGTATTAATCTGAAATAAGCATTTTAACTCTGTAGCTGTTTACCTCACAATGCTGGCATATAAATCGTAACAAAGGGGAAATCATGTTAAAGCACATATTTGCTTTATCTGATTGAGACTCTAACTCCAGGGCACATCTCTCAAGCAACGAAAATATTAGTACTGAGAGTAGGCCTATGTCACAATGTATTCACAATACTGACGGCATTTTATCTTTTTCTATTGTGATTTAAGTGTATGTTTCCTTGATTTTATATGAAATATAAATATATAAAACTGTTTTGATGTCAACATCAAACATCAATTTATCTGTCACCCTCCAACAAAGTGTCCATTCATTTCAAAGTAATGAATACTGTCCTTACTAAGTTAAATCAATTAGTTGAAAATGTGTCTTTTAAAATAGAAATACTCTGCTACTGTCCTTTCAAAACAGGCAACAGTGCGTATGTATTTACAAAGTACAGTCTGACCGTAACACCTGCTGTAGCAGGAGCTACGTCAACACCGCTATAGCCTACTGATACTAACACTACAAGTAATACTACACTACAGTATCTCAGTAACACAGCCTAACGGGACAAGTAATTGTATGAAACTGAAGCGACACAGAGACACTGGAACAGAGCGATGGAGAGATTCCGGAGGCTGGACACCACATTCGGTGTTTTGACACGGAGGACGGAATACATTAATCGGAGCGACGGCTCGGTGAACAGCAGGCGCACCCAGGCCGCCTGTCAGCTGCCCCCTCGGTTTTCATTTCTACTGTATATTTTTCCTGAATTACACGTGTCGAACGGTGAAACGTACGAGTCGGCTTGTTTGTCGGAGAGCAAAAAGAAGAGACACCACGTATAGTATCGAGACGACAGCGCAAGGTTATTTGTGTTGTCGCTGCACCGGCAGAGTAGCAGCATCAACCAGACCCTAAATATTGTCACTGCCACTGTAACGAACAACCAGACATCCCCATTAGCCCACCACTCACTTTGCTCTTGACCTCCACCACGTTGTCGGTGAGTTTTAACGGCGTCCGGTGCTGCTGCTGTCTTGACATCCTCGGTTGGTTTGTTGGCTGAGGCACTGCGGATAAAACCATCCACCGGAATTATGGTGGTTGTTTCCACTTCTGTCCTCGAGTAAAAGAAAATAATTCAGTGAGAGCCTGCGATAAAGGCTGTTAATTCTCTGTTTTCCTCCGACACTCCGGTTTATTAAAAATAGCCAGTTCTCTCGCCCCCGTGTTTGTGGCTCGTGCCGTGCTGTGTCAGAGCGCACTTGGCTTACGACACAAAAACACAGCGCTCGCGACAGGTGGAGTCCGGTAAATCCAGTATGGGATGTGAGGCGCCAGTGTAACCCGTCCTCCTCCTGCAACCTGACGAGACTGGAGGACACAACAGAGGAGGCGGGACATGACGCTGGATTAACATAACAACACAACTCTTGCTGTAATGTATGCTCTTAATGCTGAGAGTGCTAAACTAGCTTACTAATACGCCGCTGTTGTGCTACTCATATACATTTTCCTACAAGCAACACTTTTGCTGCTGTCACAACTGTACTTCTACTGGAAAGCTACTTCATATTTAATACATATCATGATATCATTGCCATCGTTATGCTGCATGTTGCAAGGCCGTCCTAAGCCTTTTTTGAAGTCCCAAGTAGAAACTGACCACCATACCCATAAGTGAACAAAACAGCCACCCACCAAATTTCTGTTCTCATATTTTAAGAAAGAGTAGGATAATATTTTACTTTAGTTAAATTCCTTTCAAGTAAAAGTACTTTTACTTAAGTATAAGTAAGTACTTATGTATAAATGTTTATAGCCTACATGTAAAAGTAGACAGTTAAATTGTACTGCATGAACATTGTGTTACATTTTTAAAAGGGGTCTATAAAGAAAAAATGTTATATGATGATGCAAATGTTGAATGCTAGAACTATTAAATTTTAGAAGGCTACAAAGTAAAGTGCATTTATACTGTCAATGTACACAATATTGGAAGTAGCCTACATCATGCCACCGAGCCTTCATGTCCAAACCCACAATTATTTCTTCTCTACATATGCAACTACAGCTACATATATGCTACAACCACCTTCACTACAATTAAGCAGAAAAGAGGACAAAACTCAGACAATGAACCAAAAATGACAGACTAAAGAAAATAACTATGGATGCCGCAACAACAAGCAATCTTACTGCTAGGGATGCACCAAATGTTCGACCACCGAATTTAATCGGCTGAAAATAGCAAAAATTTTGGTGTTAAATGTAAATGCTCCATATTTTTATAGCGCCTTTCTAGTCTTTTTGACCACTCAAAGCACTTTTACACTACATCTGCATTCACCATTCACACACATTTATAGACTGAGCCTAAGTGCTCAAACAGAAACTAACATTCACACAAATTCATACACTGAGCCTAAGTGCTCAAACAGAAACTAACATTCACACACATTTATAGACTGAGCCTAAGTGCTCAAACAGAAACTAACATTCACACACATTTATAGACTGAGCCTAAGTGCTCAAACAGAAACTAACATTCACACAAATTCATACACTGAGCCTAAGTGCTCAAACAGAAACTAACATTCACACACATTTATAGACTGAGCCTAAGTGCTCAAACAGAAACTAACATTCACACACATTTATAGACTGAGCCTAAGTGCTCAAACAGAAACTAACATTCACACACATTCATACACTGAGCCTAAGTGCTCAAACAGAAACTAACATTCACACACATTTATAGACTGAGCCTAAGTGCTCAAACAGAAACTAACATTCACACACATTTATAGACTGAGCTTAAGTGCTCAAACAGAAACTAACATTCACACACACAGAACAGCAGTATCAGTATCTTGCCTAAGGACACTTCGACATGCAGGCTGGAGGAGCCAGGATTGAACCACTGACCTTCTGATTAACAGCCAACCTGCTCTACCTCCTGAGCCACAGCCTAATAAATTAAAATGCCAAAGAAATCTTTCAGAACAATTACTTTTTTTTACATTTGAAAGTGTCTGAGAAAGCCGCAAAAATCGCTGTCGGCAGACTGCTGAATTTTCTCCTCACACATTCACTCCATCTGTGGCTGACTTCTTAGAAAAGGCAACAAACGGTCTGACCCACTTTGAGTGTTTCTGTCACTCTTTTTTTTTTTGAGACGGCGATTAAGCTAGCAGCACCTAAATTTGGAGTGCACACGTATTCAAGCTTTTATGGTAAATCCACTGAAACCGAGCAGTGTGAGCTGACAGGGAGGTTAGATACTTTATCCTAACCTGCCTGTCATTTTCTCTCTTTACAAAGACAAGTGTTGCAGGATGAGAGTCCTACCTGAAGAGAGGCTGTGAAGTCTTCATGTTACGCAATACGAGAACCACATACAACATTATTTATCAAACTGGGTCGGACTTGATGAATTTAGTGCGAGGATACACATATTGACAACATCTGGTTTTCAAAATAAGGTGTCTATACAGTATGGAAATAAGATTAACTGGATCATATTCACAGTATGAAATATATTAAATGCGTCCATTAAAAGTAAATGGACAGATGTAATTTATTTTACAGGACCCACTTGGGCCTCGGACCCACCCCCCATAGTCTCTCCACATCCTGCAAGAAACACTGAGTAGAAAGCACATTTTGACTATTTAATTTATGCAAAGGTAAAAGAAAGGCAAAATAAATGTGAATGTACTTGTTTGGTATTTGGCAAATTTTTTCATTATATTCAGTTTTCTTTTCGGTGCATCCCTACTTACAGCTTTCTACAATTGGTAACATATTCCTCTTCACTGAGTTCACTTTTTCAAAACTGTTCACACAGTTCTTTTTACCGACAACAGTTCATCTCACATCCAAAATGCATGATTGCAATTAAACACTTCTGACACATCTCAGAGATATCTTTAATGACAACCTGGTCAAAGCACTCATCTTCCAACAGGATGCAAGCACACAGCCAAGACAACACACAAGTGGCTTAAGACTACACGACTTTCAGCGTCGGCCAATCGCCGTGCTGTTCACACTACACAACTTGCCGTCTTGTGATGGGAGTCTTGAAGTCGTTGTGGCGTTCATACTATGCGACTGATCGGTGACAGGTGGTCACACTACACGAGCTGACAAGGACTCTGTCACTGGACGCTGGTCTCCAAATCATGTTTTGTTAAGAAAACACGTGAAATGTGAAATGAAACGAACACACGAAACAGCTGTTGTTATGTGTTATTATAAAGACAGCAATTATAAAGACAAAGAATCTGGGTGAAAGAATGGATTAGAGTGGGAGTAAAAAGTGTTTTGCCTGCTCTCATTGGCTGGATGTGGATGTCGAGTCGGGAGATATTTGGCATGCTAGACATCTGGCAGACGTCTGTGATGTGTTAGAAATGTGTCGGGGAGCTGTTTTGATGCGTCGTTGACTAGTTCACACATAACGGCTGGCGGCGGTCGCCGAGCTCTCAAATTGGGCTAAATATCGTGTAGTGTGAACTAGGCTTGAAGGACAACTCTGTGAATGTCCTTGAGTGGCCCAGCCAGACTTGAATTAAATCAAACATGTCTGGAGAAACGGTCAGAGTGCTAAACTAATACATTTAATACTGAAGGGGATACGAGCGGCCTCTCCCCAACTTGATTCTTGATTCTCGACTGATTCTCATTTTTGCTGAAATCTGATTGGCTCAACGGCACAGTTTGAGGCGTGGTTTTTGTTCCCAAATCTACTTATATGTTAGCTATACTAACAGTGTAGTCTCTAGCTTCATAACATCTCACTCAAAAAGAAATACAATTCCTGTAAAGTCTTAGACAGAGGAGCTACGTTCATTGACCCCAAGGCAATTCTAGTCAAATATGGATGTGTTTTTGTCATATTCATTGACCATATCTGAAGGATTGTCTCTAGAGGCGACTGAAGGAATCCTCTCTGATAAACACAGGATTATACCTAACCTCTGCAATTAGGTCATATCTCAGTTCATCACACTGATGAAATAATATCTTCATAATGCATTAATATGAAGATGATTCACCGTGATGTGTGGAAATGGTTCATCCGTCAATATGTTTTATTTGAGCTTTTCACATCTTTCCTTTCTTCCTCCTGCTCAGTTTTTCCTCCTCCCCTGCTCCTCCAGATTTACACCCTGTACTAACCCGTCCTAATCATTTTCAGTACCAGCGCGTACTGGGGCCAGTGTGTGTGTGTGTGTGCCACGGCAGGACCCCTGCATGCTTATGTAAGAGGCTGTAATTACCAACAACATGTAAGCCTTCCAGATAAGGATGCATTCCAAAGAGAAGGAGACAGCAGAATGTGAAGATGTGTTTTTTATTGTTGTTGTTGTTCTTCTTTTTCTACAGTTTCTGCTGAAGTCCGTCCCTCTTTCACACTCCTTCCTCTCTGCCCTCCCCTCATCTTGTTGCCTTAACACACTTCCCCTCCTTTACACCCCCCCCCCCCCCCACACACACACACACACAAGTTATGGTGGAATGTGGGAATGCAAGGAGAGTTGGAAGAGGGAGGACTTGGATTGACAGCATGATCTCATACAGCCAGCCAAAACTTTGATGCGTTCACATAATTTGTGTGTGTGTGTGTGTGTGTGTGTGTGTGTGTCAGTATTGAATCTCTTGTGTGTTACTGTGATGCCTCAAGATTCCTCTGACAGCTGAAATCCAAAGGAAAGTTTTTGCACATACATGTAGTTGCTAATTACAATTTTCACAATTGATTAATATGAAAATCTTAAATGTAATAAAGATGATGATTTTGTGATGGAGCCTTACCAGTAGTGGTACAATACTTAAAAAAGTACAACCTGTGTTACGTTTTGACTCTTGACTCTGTATGAGGTGTTTTATCAGGGTGATTGTTATCTGGGATGCTGTAACTGTGCACACCACCTCGTGTGTCTGGGCACATGGAGAGTTTTTCTCTGTGTCACTATTGTCTCCACTTCTCACAGATAGAAATAATCAAATTTGGTGATTTTACATCGCTCTGCAATTCAAATCAACTGCCAGTTTTCTACCCAGAAGTGACAGTTGTTAGTGCAACATCTTGGTGATTCAATGAACGTTAATTACAGACCATAACTCCAGATCTCAACTCACCTTCCATGTAGTGAGTAGCCGTAGATTAAGAGGGTTTAGAAGGCTACGCCTATACCCTTAGGATCTAGAATTACGGTATGTATCTACATCCAGATCTATTCATTTTGAAAGACCAGTGGTGTAACTTCATCACTCACTAACTCACTCAGTAAGTCACAAAGTCTGTAGGGGTTAAAGCAAATTTATGCCCCAGGCAAAATTCAGTTTT